TGCTATTTATCCCGTGTATGTGCCACCCAGGCTCAGTATTATTGAGATGGTTGCAGGACTAATAAAATATCCAAATTCAACAAACAATCGTAAAACAGCAGGTCTTGGTTTAATTTTATGAATTTATTTAACCTATCTCTAGGCACCTTTCAGGCAAGAGCTTCCCTAGAATTTAAGCATGATTCAAAGGGATTGAAGGGTTAGGAACTCTTACAAGCCTTTGACATTGTTTGCTAAAATGATGCTCCAGTGAGCACCAAGTGATCGTCTCAGGGAGAATGTTCTGCACCCAGGGCATCACCACCAACGATCTTCAGCAGTGACCAGCCATATTCCCCCTTACAAGAAAGGACGCTGAAGACGGTTCTGCAATTGGAGCAGATTTCTCATGCAACTGCTAAATGATTTGAGAAGCAGCTGGGAGAGACTTCAGCTAAGAATCAAAAAAGCAGCTGGCCATCAGCAAGCAATCTGGTTACACAAGGAATGGCGCCCACTTCATTGCTTGAGTTCAGAGAAGAACCCACACGGCAAAATCATCTTTGATTCTGATCGGATCTGCTTCAGGTAATCTTCACAGTTCCCCAGGGCAAACAGACTCTGACACACTCCCTTGTCCTAATGGTAGGGACAACGTATGGGATGAGTAGGTGGCTTTCACTGGATCTACGGAAAGGAAACCCCAGTCCTGCTGTCGCTTCAAAGGTGAGTGCTGGGGGTGGCCATCTAAAATTTCCCACAATGCCTCTGAACCAAGATGGAGATGGAGGGATTCCATCAAAGAAGCCACAGCCCGGAACGTAGAAGAGCTGAGTGGGACTGTCAGGGATGGGGGTTTTGGAGGCTGCTCTTTCACGGTGTCTCCACAAGTCAGAGATGACTTGACCGCACATCGTGGCAACGATCTCTGAACTACACCGGACACTGTAGGCCGCTGGGGCAAATGGAAAAGCAGGCTCAAAACTAGGGAAGTACAGGCCTTGTGAAACCCATTCCTTCTGTGTCTGTGGATTGTAGGCCATCAGATTTTCATAGATTTGGACTTATGAAATGCCTTCATAACTCGTCGAACAACCCACCGTTGGGCGTGCAAACTGCAGGCCTGTGCAAAAGTCATTTGCATAATACGTGTGCACAGATGCACGAGGACACGTCCTTTTGTGTGGCTTTGTACGTTTATCCTATGGGTGAACCTGGCCCTGGGCGCAACCCTGGGGATCCAGGCATGGTCTTTCTGGGAGGGGACCCCTTCCAGGGAGTTTGTTCCTCTGATCATTGCTTCCCCTCCGGTGACAACCCCTTGATCTTGTGTCCATTCCAGAACTGCCCCCTGCCTCCCACCCAAGGCAAAATATGCCTCCTTTTCCTCTGGCTTTCCCAGAGCCTTGCTTTTCTTCTAGGCTGGCTATTTGCTTGCCAACCAGGTTCTCCATCTGTCTCTCCTCTCCCTTCCCTCGGAACTGGGGTCGCAGCTGACTGGACCCCCACCCCCTTGAGGGTGTACCTTCCAAAAAAGCATTGCCTCTCAAGAGACCTTTGTGTGGCCAGGCAAGGAGCCAAGGTTAGCGGAGCTTGCAGTTCGTCAAATCCATCCCATATGTTTCTCATGGATTATCAGGCATTGCATCCACTCACCCTCCATGGATGGAGTCTGGGTTTTCTTTTGCGGGGTAGGAATGTGCGAGATTCTCCTTCCACTGGCAGGCGTGTGCTCATGGGCCAATTCACACAGCACAAGGCTGCATTTAGGCTGCCGTGCATTAGCCCAAGTGCAAATTTGCACAAAGCCCCACAATATGTTAAAAAGGAAAAAAAAAGGGGAAACAAGGCAATCCGCTGTGGAACCGACAGATCAGTTTCAGAGAAATCTGAACTCGTTTGAATTGCTTGCACATTTTGCCAGTATCCCTGGCCAAGGCTCCAATGGGAATGGGGAGCCCTGCCAAAGCAGTGAGGAAGAAGCATTAGATGAAGGCTAACAATACCGTAACGAGGCGTTTTGATGGCCCACATTCTTCAAACCTGCTTCTCTGCCCCATAAGTCTCTAATCAGTGTCCCCATATTTTCCAAGCTGCTCTCTCTCCCCCGCTCCCACCGGTGCACACGGAGTCGGATTTCTCCCTGCGAGGACAGGACAGAAGAGTCTCAGTAATGGGCTTCCCCATCCGTGCCAGACCGCCTTGCCGAAAAGAGAAGCCGGCATCACGGACTGGGGGCGAAACCGCGGAAGGCAGACACCGCGCTGCCTCCCCACCCCTGCGGCCAACCTTCTCCCCCCCACCCGCCCCCGGTGTTCAGCCACCACATTGGGGGTGGTGCCGTGGGGCAGTCTTTGAAGCAGCAGAAGTAAGCTGCCTGTGGCCCTTCTGGAGCTCCATCCTGGAGAATCCACGCTCCCCTCGACTCGGATCCCTGCGGTAGCATCAGAAAAGGCCCTTCTTGAGTTCTCACAGAGCAGTGGCGGGCAGCTCCTGGACACTTCCTGCCCTCTCTGCCCACTTTTGCAAACCAAACAAGCAAGCGCCCTTTCTCAGTGAAAACTGGCACTGTGGGAAGCTTTGGGTTGGATAAGGTAAAGGTAAAGGTTTCCCCTTGACGTTACGTCCAGTCATGCCTGGCTCTGGGGGGCGGTGCTCATCTCCGTTTCCTGGCCGAGGGAGCCAGCGTTTGTCCGCAGACAGTCTCCGTGGTCGTGTGGCCGGCATGACTAAACACCGAAGTGCACGGAACACTGTTACCTGCCCACCGAAGTGGCACCTTTTCATCTACTTGCATTTGCATGCTTTCGAACTGCAAGGTTGGCAGGAGCTGGAACGGAGCAACGGGAACTCACTCCGTTGGGCAGATTCGAACCGGCGACCTTTCGATCAACCAGCCCAGCAGCACAGCGGTTTAACCCACTGCGCCACCTGCATCCCTTTGGGTTGGATGGTTTGTTTAATCTGCATGAAAGCTGCCCATGCGCGTTATGTGTGGCCTCTGGGTGGTTCTTGCAATAACGGATCAGAGGAGGGGCTTAGCATTTTGGCATTAGATCCTGCCCCCCCCCGCCGCCTTGCCATCAGTGTTTGGACAAGCTACTTGTCCTTTGCTCTGCCCCCCACCCATGGCAGCTTTTCCTGGTGGTACCCAGGACCCTTTCTCAACTAGCCAAAGGGGGGAGAGTGTCATCAAAGCTCGAGCTAAAACCGGAGGTGGATTCGTAGTACAGGTCCAATTGTGGATCAGAAAAAAATACAGTGGTTCCTTGGCTCATGAACTTAATCCATTCCAGGACTCTGGTCGTGACCCAAATTGGTCGTGAGCCAAGTCAAATTTCCCCATAAGGTTCAATGGAAAGAAGGTTAATCCATTCTGTGACCATTTTTTCTTACTCATAAAAATTTGGAGCAAAGTGACAAAGAATAACAACCATGCTGGGGAGGGGGTGGCCACGATCGTGCTTGGGGGCGGGGGGAGACGGGCACGATCACGGGCACGCAGGGGGGAGACGGGCACAATTGCAGTCACGCTTTTGCAAAGGGGACCGACACGATCGCGGCCATCTCCCCCCCTCAGCACAACCGATGCAGAGTTCGCGACCTGCGGCAAAATGTTTATGAAATTTCTGTTCGCGACCCGATTTGGTTGTGAACTGAGGTGTCCGTGAGCTGAGGTACCTCTGTTTATATACTGGGGGACAGTTCAGGGATCCATTTCGGATGGCCCTGCTTGGTTGCTTGAACACCTGGCAGGAGCAGAATCACAATGGGGGGATGTCACTTGGGGGGAAGCAGGAAAGAAACACTGCCCCCACTCCATTTCACAGAGATGGGACCACCCCCGGCCCGTGCTGGACAGCTGTCCTGACCTTCCTGTCTTGAGGGCCTTGGACAGACTGGAAGCACACCTTGGCTCCCTGCTTCAGACACTCCTCTATTTGACCCCCCCCCCCACAATTTAGTAGCTGATTTGTTCATCAACCCAACCCAAGGGGGCACCCCTACATTTAGGAAGATGGTGGGTGAAGAGGTGGGGTGGAAGACGCAAGGTCCCCGTCCGCACTTTCCCCAAACATGTTTCCACTTGTTCCTTAAATTTAGAGAAGGAGGGTCTAGTGACTGGCAGCCGCGTTGTCTGAAGTTGTGTACAGGATTTGAGGGGGAATCAGGCACAGGGGTGTGCAAACATTTAGCTGGTTCTTGAAAAGGGAATGGAAAAGGCCCATGCAAAACCCTGAAACTGTCATATTTTTTCAGCAAAAGCTCACATTTTCGTACGTGAGAATGCATCCGTTTTGGAAAATGCGCTCTACACCATGTGATTTTTTCCCCAAACAAGATACATGTTTATGTTCTGGTGAATGAAACCATATGCCTGGGGATATACTTTGAAAAGTACACATTTCTCCTTTTCAAAAGCACACACATTCTCTAATCAGGGAAGGGGGATTACGGTGGGGAGCATGAGGTGAAACACGCATCACAGTGGGAAAGGGGAGCCTTGGTGACCTTTGAAATCATTGTCTCAGCCACCCCTAATCATGCCTCTCCACCCCAAAAGCCCTTGGTCAGAGGGGGCAGGTTTGTGCAGGAACCATTTGCCCAAACTGGGATTGGAGAGGCATCCCTGTGCCCAATCCCAGTTCCGGTGAATTGGAACTCCTGCGTGGGTGGCTGGGGGCATCCTGAGAGCTGAGGGATTGTTTCTTCATCAAGATATGCATGGGATTGCGCCTTAGGAAGCCGAAGAACCAGAAATGAGACTTGCATCTCCAGAGAGCATCCCTGCATCTCTCTCTCTCTGTCCCCCTCCCCCTGCCTCGCCCACACACTTTCCAAACCTGCATCCCACGAGATGGATTTCCAGAAGGTCAGCCCTCCCTGGCACAGACAGACCTGCCCTTCTGCAGCTGGGCCATGCGCTGCAGCCAACGGTGTGCGAGGGGGAGAAAGGAGATGGGAAGGACACGCGCCCCCCCTCCCGCAGCCCAGCCCGCGTCCCAGGGAGCGACACTTACGTGTTGTGGAGCACACACCATCCGCAGTGGGGGTCCCCCGAGCCCAGGCACTTGCCACAGCTTCGGTACTGCCCGCAGGACTCCACCGGCACCTGGGAAAGCTGCAGGAGACGAGGGAAGAAGGAAAGAGGGGCTCGTTAGTTGTGATGCCGGGCCGTCCGGGGCAGCGCAGACCCCATTCACGCCTTTCCTCCCCTGCAGAGGAAGGAGGACTTCGAATCCTCTCTCCATCCACTGAACGGAAAAATCGTTCCTGAGACGGTATCGTGCAAAGGCCCACAACAACTCTCTTGCCGAGGTCATGGGACCATTTTTATTTTTATTATTATTATTATTATTATTATTATTATTAGTATTATTATTGTTATTATTATTATTATTATTATTATTATTAGAACATTTCTATACCGCCCCTTGCCGAAGCCTCAGGGTGGCTTACAACACAATAAAATACAACACAATACAAAAATAACAATATAAAATTAAAATTAATAATATAAAATAAATAAAAAATATAAACGATATAAAAGAAGTTATAAAAGAAAAGTTATAAAAGAAAAGAAAAGAAAAGAAAAGAAAAGAAAAGAAAAGAAAAGAAAAGAAGTCACCCTGGCCAGATAAATAAGTAAATATTGTTAACAATTAAAATGATGTTTAAATAAAAAGGTCTTCACCTGGCGCCGAAAAACAAGTAACGACGGCGCCAGGTGGACCTCTCTGGGGAGCACATTCCATAGATTGGGCGCCACCGCAGAGAAAGCCCTCCTCCGAGTACCCACCCTCCTAGTTTCTTTCACGGAGGGTTCCCGGAGAAGGGCCTCAAGTGATTCGTGGACTGCAAACTAACTCCCAAAGGAAAAGCAATTTCGCATGCCTACGTACAGTACCAATACCATTGCAATGCGTTTACTTATCATATTTGTATCCCGCCTAGGGATGGGGGAAACAGCTCGTGGTTCAGAGGGTTCCACTTTCAAAATTAGCTTGCCATTTTCCCATTCCCAATCGTAAGCATTTTTCCAGGTGTTTGAACATGGAAAGTATACATTTTGTTTATTTTGCCTTTCTCTTGTGTGCCTTCCCCTTCTCTTTGTTAAAGCATGCTCCTAAATGTATAGTTTCCCCCATTCACACATGAAAACGCACATTTCCCTTCCAAACTGCATTTTTAAAGTGCGCATTTTTCACACTATGCATTTTTCAAATCAGCACTGCGAGTTCAGGAATGTGCACACCTTGCTTGCCATATAAACTCATATTTGGAAGTGTGAAAGTGGCAGTTTTGATCAGAAACAAGCCGTTCTCAGACATCGTGACTAAAGATGGTCAGAACCTTCCAGTTCTGTTCCATGCTTCTTACCCAGTCTTCTAAAGCCTTTTTTGGGATATACGTCCCCTTCATATAGGCATTTCTGCATGCATGACTCTTTAGCATATACTTGCTTGTGCACGCTTTTGAGCCCCAAAATGGACTGCGACATTCTGAAACGTGTACCCTTGGCGTGCATGTGTATTCTGGTCGCCTTGCAGGTGAGGCAGGTCCGAATTTGGCAAGGTGGTGTGAACATTCAGACCTGCAACATTTCTCTTGCAACCATAGTATAACAGCTGTCCCCATCACTGAAGTATTTATATATTTGTTTGAAGCTTTTCTATCCCGTCCAACTACTGGCGTCTTGGGATGGTTTTATACTAAAAGCAGCACAAACAAAACAGCACAGCATCCAATTACCTGCAAGTCAGCTGGTCTGTCAAAACGTGCCTTAGCACTGATGTACAGGCGTACCCAGTGTCCAGATGACATTTAAATAAAAAATGTCAACCTAAAAAAAAAAAATTCAACCTAGCCTACATTTTTAAGGCAAAGGCCAATTACTAGAAGTATTAGTAGCCATCTACCTCTGGAAACAGAGTGGTCCTTCTTTGGGCTACAGATTTGCCTGCCATGCTGTGATGGTCAAAGAGCTTCCCGTGGTCCATAAGGGTATGCCCACCACACATGAGCACTGCCAAAAATGAAATGTGAAGAATCAGGGTGCATGGCTCCCAGGGAAGGCTCCTCCTCTGATTTTCTTGAGACACCAGAGGGCGGAGGCCAGGTGAATCAAACGCGTTGGAGCAAGGCTGTTCAGCAGATTTTGGGACCCCGGAATGCTTGTGAAGAGATCAGTTACTCTCAAAGAAAAGAGGCTTCTCTGGATTTAGAAGGATTGCTGGAGTCGCTCCATTTCACATGTGTGAAATCCACATAAAAGTGAGGATTCTTCTCCTACTGCCCCCAAAAGACAGGCAGGACAGCAAGGTCGCTGCTGCGGTTTTGGTTTGCCTGCCACTGGTGAACCAAGACAAGTGGCCACGCGCCTCTCATGCGGTTGCATTTGGCCAAGGCGAGCTGCTCCCCCGAACTCTGACACAACAAGGCACAGTACAGAAGAGTTTTAGTTCAGTGCTATCCTTGTGGCTGCTCGGGCAAAAAAGAAACCTGCACCCGCTTGCAGACAGTCCGGACTCTTCGCATGGTCCAGAACAGGGCGGCACGGCTGCTGACAAGGACCAGTTCTTATGAACACATCACACCCTGTCCTCCTGCAGCTGCACTGGCTTCCTCTTCCTGTCTGGGCTGAATTCAAGGGTTTATCCTTGACATTCAGAGCCCTAAATGGCTTGGGACCACAGTACCTTAGGGAGGGCCTTGCTCCATCTATTTCTGCCTGTTGACCGCGGCCCTCCTGCAAGTTCCTCTCCAAGGAGGTTATGGGGAAGGCTGCAAAGAGGAGGGCCTTCTCCGTGGTGGCACCCCAACTGTGGAACATTTTACCACTGGAGATTCGCCAGGTGCCTACCTTATTGAGTTTCAGGAGCCTGGCAACACGTTTGGCACCAGCCAGACTATTTGCACCAGTATATTAATGTATGATTTATTTTCATTTAGTTATTTCATTGCCACTTCATTTATTGTGATATTTTACTTGTATTATTTTATTAATGTTATGTGCTGATTTTATATTGGAATGGCCACCCAGACAGCATGGTGCTACCAGGCAGCTTTTAAACAGATTCGATAAATGAAATGAATTAATTACAGTCAGGGATATGGTCTCTGAACTTGGAGGCTGTGGTTCTGGCCAACTTCACACACATGCTATGGTCAATTTGTTAAAGCCACGGATGATGGTCTTTGTCAGAGCTTCCAGTGGCGGGCAGTTCCAGTGGCCCATCTTGCATGCATACCTTCATCTTCAGGCACTGCCACTGTCTAGTGCTGATCCACTCTTAAAAAATGGGTCAGGAACCCCCCCACCCCACCCCACCCCTGCCATTTTTGAAGACAGCAAAGGAGGATGTTTTGTTTGCGCACGTTTTCACCTCTTTTCACCACTTTATAAAAGCATTCGATTGTTCCCTGCCTGGGCATCTTCCTTTTCCCCTAAGATGGTAATGCATGTATACAGCAACATTAGCACCATAATATGGATGTATACATGCGTTAGCCCAGGCCAGAAAAGGGTTTTCAAGCCATGGGCCAACTTGGGTAGGCTGGAATGCAGGAAGAAGGACCAAGCAGCCAGTGTGAGATGCGAAGAAACCCTGGAATTCTTGTGGAGAAAAGATCAGACATCTTCCCCTTAAAGCGCTTCGTCAAAACAACAATGGGGGTGACCCATTGTCTGGAGACACCTGGAAGGTACCTCATCCATAGCACTAAGCAAATGCACCTCTTACCCAGAGAAACAAGAGTTCACGCTATCAAGAAGCCATCAAGCACCCTTCCAACAATCAGCCTAAGCCGGGAAACTCAATTTTTCTGGTAGACACGTGTTCAGAGAGAAAGAGTAGACAGTAGACAGACAGACAGTAGAAAAAGCACTCACAAACCCCGAACACAAGCCAAGACTCGCTGTGAACACAGTAACAGCCTTGTACAGAAAGGCCCTAAAACCAGCAACAGTAAGCAAAAGAGCTGTTGGTGCTGTTCAGTTGCATCCTGCATCCAGGCAGCATCCGGGCAGCAGGGACTGTAGGTTTCTGTAAGGGGAGGACAAGGGATTTCCATACAGGGGCGATCCAAAGACCTCCAGCAGGAGGCAGTCAATGAGGCCTGCTGAAAAATGCCCTCATTGCAAGCATGCGTTCTATCCCATAACATTGTAAGTATGCTTTACAGCTCATAATGCAGCGTGGCACACTCCCTGTCGTCTGGGCCTACAGTCTTTTCTTCTCTGACTCCTTTTCCTTTCTCCCCTCTCTTGCTCTTCCTTCTTTCTTTTGAATGCAAAAGGATCATTCGGGTGTTCTAAGGCGGTTCTGTTTGCTCCTTTACAATCGTCTCCCCTCGCTATTTCTTCCAAATGTCACTCCTGTATGCATTCGATTTTAAACAGATTCCGCTGTCCTCGCTTTAGCAGAAATGGCTTTCTATGCAACCCCCAAGCACCCTTTTTTCCTGCAAGAGCCTGTTTGCTGTTTCCCTGGCTAGAGGCAAGGCTATCAGTCAGCGATGCTTTTCTGCCATGGATCCCCGCGTCAGCAGAGAAAGGCTGCTTCCATCACTGCTGTGGAAAGGCATGGACCTGACAAGTGCCCAGAGCCAACCGGACTCCCAGCAGCACTCGGCACCCGAGCAATGAAAGGCTGCAGGGGAATTAAGGTTGGAATCGGTGCAGCAAAGGGCCCCTAGGAGGGTGGTCAGTTTGCAGGAGAAGTCGTATGAGGAGAGGCTGAGGGAGCTGGGTCTTTTCAGTCTGGAGAGGAGGAGAATCAGAGGGGACCTGTTAGCAACATGCAGATAGGTGAGGGGGTGCCAGGCCGAGGTGGATCATGACCTTTTCCCCCTGCAGTGGAGGGCAGGATGCGTTCCAATGGAGCAAAGCTCAGGGAACCAAGATTTAGGGTGGATGCCAGGAAGTACTTCCTGATGGTTAGGACCCTGAGGGTGTGGAATGGGCTTCCACGGGAGGTGGTTGAGGCCCCATCGGTGCGGGTGTTCAAGGATGGGCTGGATGTCCACATGGTGGGCATGTCGTGAGTGAAGCCGGCTGGAGCTGGGAGTCAGACTAAATGGCCCAGGAGGCTCCTTACATAATATGGCAATAAAACCAGA